TGCTTGTTACGGTCATGAAACTGGTCATTACACACAGGATCTGTCGTTATGGCAACATTTATCACTTAAATAATAACACAGTGGTTTGCATTATTGGTCGGGGTCCAACAAATGAAACGGCTATGGAGAGTAAAACAATAGGTATATGGAGCTTTCCAGAAGGGCGGAACCAGTAGGATAATGACTAATAAATATCTGTTCTGTTCATAAAGATCCTCGCTCTCCAGAGTAAAAAGGGGGGAAAAAACACCCACACGTGAACCATCATCACACTTATAATGCAATGCCTATATTAAGAAAAGAGAGAGGAAGAAATGAAAGAGACATCCATCTCTGGCCTTGTTGTTGTTTTTTGCTCTCTCCTCTCAGCTTTTCCAATATCAGGTCTGCTTCAACCATCTGAAAGAACAGGAAATGAAGGCACCCATATCACAGTCTAATAATACAAAAACAGTGATAGCAGCCCATGCCAAAACAGTCGGTGTAGACGGTACAGAGTCATCATCGCTCTCACACTCAACATATCCACATCCTATACAAACCTCACATATACAAACCTAACAACCGAGCAAAGTGAGGCTTTCAATCCTTCTACTGAGGTTAAAAATTAAGGGATTTGAATATAGCTTACTCTAGCATTAATAATAAAGCCATCTTATAAGGTAAAATGGCTAATTAGTTAAGATAGGATATTGAAACCACAGTTACAAGTTTATAAAGAAGTGTAAAAGTGAGAGATGGAAGTAGCCTATCTTTGCAGCAGGTGTACACATACCCTTGACCCAACCATGCCCCCTAGTGCACATACAGCAGTTTCATTGCACATCATCTCATTTGCTTCATTATTTAGCAGCTATTAATCTAAATGCATTTACAGTTCTCTTACTATAAAATAATACAATTTTTACTGCATTTTTTATCAAGTAAATACAGCAGTGGTGAGCATAAGATAGTTAAAATTCATTAACCGATTACCAGCTCCAAACTTTTTGGGGGGATAGTGTATAGTATAGGTTCTTTCCGGAGCAGCCTAATGTTAAATGAAGTATACAAAGGTGATGGGTTTCAGTAATTTACTAATACTTCTTTTGAATTTCTCACAAATCTTGGTTATGTCATTTTTACTTGCCAAACCCATGTGCAGACAATAGCTTTTATTAATTTAGGTTACATTAAAAATCAGGTCCTAAAAGCAATATTTATGAGCAGATTTAATCTGAATACAGTTCTATCCTCACTTTTCAAATATTTTACTTCAAAAGACACTGAACCAGAGTGCAGAATTAGAGCTAAACTCTGCACAGAATACTGCTCCCAAATAAGATCTGCTTCACTAACAGGGATCAATATCACCGATGCGTGCAAACAAAGTCAAGATTCGCCCCATCACTTACATTTAACTTGCCCAGTACAAAATGGCACTGTAAAAGCACACCATTTCCCTTTCTTGGAAATAAAATATTTCATGCTTGAAACAAATCTCACAACAAAAACACTGATTTAATATTATAAAACAGCATTTTAAGTTTATTACAGAAAATATACAAGCAGCAATACATTTTAATTCTCAATATATTAAACTAAACATACACAAAGCTTTAACCAAGCTATGCATCTGACAGGTAGATATGGCACCTGATACTGTCTCTGTCCATATATCTGTTAAACCTTTCTTGACTAGTCAAGAAATCTAAGATTTAAGCAAATGTAAAAACCATTATTAGCTTTGTTTTATCTGTAATGTCCAGAAACTAAAGTAACTACTAATTCATATTTTATACCTGAAACAGTCAAAGTAGAATAAAAGAAACCGGTAACATTCCCTGAATGATGACCTCTGATAATCATTTTGATCTACAGATTCTAAGACATTTGAACAAACTCTTAGAATATTAGCCTAATAGTTTTTTTTTAGCCTAATCCTGTCATATCCTGTGTTCTTTTAGTAAACAAATAATTCCTGGTTTGAAATAATTAAATGACCTGAAGTTAAAGCTTTCTAGCATGTGAATGCAAAATGATTGATCTAGACCATGATGTTTGTCTGAAAACAACATTTGGCTCATCTTAATGAACCCCTTATTTCTTTTCTTTCTTGTTTTTAAGATGCATGTACGAGGTGGTCTTTATAAGCACAGCCACCTTGCATCATCATGCATCATCCTCCTCTGAGAATTTGAATTTGGCATAAACTATTAGCATAACCACTGACATGACCATACACAAGGAGCCAACTACTAAATAAGCAATGCCCAAGAAGTCGTTCTTCCCTCCCATCCAAGACACGTTGCTGAAGACCAACTTCTTACGTCCATCAAAACTCAGTACTGGGTAGTCTGGAAATGACGTGGTTAAGGAACAAACATGGTTCATTCATGCTGCATATGAACATTTCTACTGCATGTTTAAAAAAAAAGTGAATTTTACTGAGACAAGTGCTCATTAAGTGGTGTGTTTATGTTGCGCTAGCAGTCGTTTTGAACACTGGATACGGACACCTGAAAAAAAGTTCTCAGTGTTTTCAGTCACCAATACCATTGTAGAAATCCTCTATTCATTATCAGCCATAAATAATTGATTCCACATTCAAAAATGTCAATAACAGGAGGGTTAAAAAGATAAAGCAAGGCTTCAGCTGGTCATGTGGTTCCTTTTTAAAGAAATTA